AGAATTGATCCTTGAAAATATAATTTTCTAAATGGGGAATACGATTCCCAGTTGAAGAGAGAGAAAAATTTTTGAAATTCGCCTCTTATTCCGCAATCTTTTGGGCGTCCATAAGATGGATCTCTCATCCCTTCAAGAGGTAGGAGGGTTATTTGCGTAGGAGTGAGATAGGAAGCATGATAATGTAGTCCCCACTTTATGTAAAAAGAAAATAGAGTTTGGAGAAAGATTGTGCAAATTTTGCATCAATCTTTGGGATACAAAAACTGTACTGTGAGTGAGAATGTAAATGAGACAAAAATAATGTACACATTTTGTATTAGATAGGAATGCAAACGATACTTACAAACAAATACATATAAAATTGAACCAGATGCAAAATTTGTATTCAATTCAGATTTACACTGCAAACAAACAGCCACGGGATCAATGCTTTCACCGCAGTTAAGCAAATGAGTATGTAGAAAACTTGACTTTTTTTCCTTTTACTATGATCATCTTAGTCAAATGGTACAAAATCATGTAATCATGCTTATTCTTAGACAATAGGGGTACCAAAAGAAATGTTCAAGTTATTAAAAAAATTATATAACTGTTTAACTTCAAGAGATCTTTATGTGAGATAATAGGGCTATTAATTGGTTTAATGGTAAAATCTCAGGCCGGCAAGTGGTAAACACAGTTTAAAAAAAAAAAAAGAACACAGGTTAGGACCATCTCCAGTTCCCAAGACCCAAAATTGTTAGAACCAACATTGGGTAATTGAGTAATGGTTAGGACCAACATTGGGTATTTTTTATCCTTTTATGAAAATCTATACACAATCTCTCTCTCTCTGACGCACACACACATCTTTCACTCTAGACCTTAAGAAATGACACCCAAGTTTCATTCATCTATTAACATAAACCGTATCCAAATAAAAGTTTTACCAACTAAATAAAGGCATCCCTAATAATAATAATTAAGTCATCGCTAAGATGAGTTTTGTTCAGAGTACAAAAGTAGGATTTTTGCACAACACAGCAAACACTAAAAGCTGAATCTGAGTGTGCCTTTTTCTGGATATCGTCCCTTAGCTTATAGAGCCATGTATATTGGACTAAGCTGGACTTGTGCCTAGGAGACACATTAATTTGAGCTAGGATTGGGTTGAGTTGTGGAATAAAGCTTATTAGACATCTACAATAAAAGATACTAACAATTATTAGACCTTCCAACTGAGGGCCGGGGTAGCCCAGTTGCTGCACTATTGGATAAATTGTTTCAGCGTTGGTGCGGTTTCAAATTCCATTAAGAATTATTTGATTTTTAAGGTTATTGATGTGTTATTGTACTATTCGCTTCAAAAAGTAAAGTCCCTTATGTCAAGTAATGATTAATACAAACAGTTCACCCCAGAAATCGTATGTCAATCATACAGTTAAGGTAGGTGTCAGTTCGGAGTTGATGTCATTTTCCTGAAAGAGTATAGATGTTATAGGTGGAACTGTTTATAAATTTGAATTGTTATAGGTCTACGGTTTAAATCAGAATTGTGAGGGGGAATACAGTCTAAAAATCCCAAATAACAATTAATGGACCTTTTATTTAGAGTGCATATTTTTTTCAAAAGTTTTATGACATATATTATATACTAGCAAGAAGCCAACATGGGAAAATGAGTATATATATAAGAGATTAATACTTAACATGTATTATATGGGTACATGGATACATGCATACAACATACAGACAACTGACACACATACAAATGCAAAATGCATGGGGGTATACTTAAAAGGTGCATTATATATCTGGTTTTAATTTGCAAAGATTGAGCTAATTAAACCGCAATTACTCCTAGATGTGAATGCATTATACTTGTATCTGTATGGAGTTCAATTGGGGTCGTAATTAAATAGTTGGGATCCATATACTATAGTATTGGATCATATATATATATAGAAATAATCTATTGAATTTTCATTTCCTTTCCCTCCAAAAGCAGGTCAAGCTTTAGCATGCATTCAGAAAATTAAAAAAAAAAAACAGTCAAACTAAATTTCTTGCTATGATCTTGTCTTGATTTTGCAACCACAGTTGTTGTTCGTGTAGGAGATGTTGATTCATGGAGCCATCCAAGGAAGTTTCACCCGGGGGATTGGATGGTGCAAAAGGGTCATTTTCGATTTGCAATGGCGGTGTTGTGGCATCGGAGTTTTGTGCACAAAACGTAGGAGTTGCTTGAAACGTGGGGATGGAGAAGGCACCATCTGCTGCAACAACAGGATGATCAGGAGGGTTGATGGCCTGCGCATGGATCTCACCCTCATCGTCACCCTCACCGTCACCGTCACCCTCACCCTCACCCTCACCCTTAGTCCCACCCTCACCCATGTCTTGTAGGAAAGGGTTATTATAGTTTGGATAATTGTGCTGATCATACAGGTTGTCGATGACAGACAAATGGTCTACCTCCCCACCAGTTTGCTTGGAAGATATGTCCTTTGCACTTTGAGTTAACACAAGCTCCCACCCCTCCTTTGAATCTTCTTTGACGTCCAACTCCAATCCCGACACCGAAGGCTGTTGCTCCTCTTCTTGTTGGGGCTGATCATTGAAAAGCAGATCAAGATCTGAACTGAATAAGGGCGGGCTGCTTGTTCCCCTTTCATTCATATCCATCAAATCGGATTCCCTTTCGAATTGTTCTTGATCCATGTCGACGGATGGGCTTGTTCCTCCTACATCGGCGTCGGGATCACTACTAGATGGTTGCGGTTCCATCTCCGAGCCCCAGTATCTCTCCTCTGACGACATCGTCTCTGCTGGTTGATCGGATTGTTGAGAGGCTTCACCACCTCCTTCACACGGTTCCGAACTTGTCATGCTAGTGGAGAATGCACGGAGAAGCAACTGGGGGTTCTGCGGCGGCTCCGCCTTACCATTATTAGCGGTTGGGAAAGAAGCCTGATCTTTCAGGAATTCCCTCAACGTGTCGATGAGCTCATCGGATAACTTGTGGACACTCGGATATTCGGATGTTCGGCCAATGTTAAGGCCCTTGCACAGGTAATAGAAGGCAGATAGCTCTTCGAATTGCTTCGAGGCCTTAACGCACGTTTGGAAGGCATTAACGCAGGATTCGTACTGAAGATGAAAGAAACCATCTAGGAGAATTGCGAGACCGTCGGAGATATCCCGATAGAGATCAAAGCTCTCCAGCACCACCGAGTAAAGACATATTTGCACCAGTCGGTTATTCTTGGCGGCACCAGTGGGGCGGGTGGCCATCGCCCGATCAAGTAAGCGTTGCCAACAAGAGATCTTCTCGAGCAACGAAGGGGACTGCTGAATGTCATAAACGGCGGGTTCATAATTGATGATGCCACCTTGCTTTTGATCCCAATTTGAAGGTCGGCCATGGAGCTTGCCATTGAGGAAGCAATCAAGACGCTCGTCTAGGTAGAGGGCGAAGGAGCGCACGAAGGCTGTATAATCCCAGGGGCTTGAATTGGAGTCGTCTCGGAAGCTTGAAAGATTGAGAATTTTGGCGCCGCGCTTCATAGTGTCGAGGACTTCCCTGGGGAAGTGCTGCTGATCACCTTCCTGAAAAATCCTAAGGACGAGCATGAGAGACTTGAGAGCAACAATCCAGTTGCTGGTGCGACCTATGCGCTTGGCGATAGTCTGAGCACAAATGGCTGCATCCTGCTTGGAGGCAGAGGCGAGGAGGATAACCTCTTTCACGTATCGCTCCTCCACAGGAATCGCTTCATGGGTGGTGGCCTTGAGCACAGCGATACCAAGGTTGGAGGTATTTTTCTTTGATACCTTGGCAAGCCCTATACTTGTGTGATCCTTCACGGCCCCAATCGCCTTCTTGAATTTGCTCGGCATGGTTTTGAATTTTGATCGATCGATCGATCAGCAGAATACCATCTTCCACCACGCCAGCAAAAGAAGGAAAAATAGGACAAGAGAAAGATTTGAGAGGTTGCACCCACCACCTTCACTCACATCCAACTCATGCTACACCCATTTTTCCCAACTTTTGTATTTTGGTTGAGATTGTTTTGGAGCGTTCAGGAGGGGCCTACGGAGTCGGATAGCTTTATTCACCATACAGAGAGATTAGACACACATTTTCTTTTTCATTTTGATTTGATAGAGCAAAAGCCAAAAGGGGTGATTGACAGTTGACATTGCTTTCCCTCCTTTCAGTCTATTCCGAGAGGAGAGACCGGCCGGACCAAGACACGCACTTCTGTTGGTTGACCCTGTCATCACCCTATTTTTGGTACTAAAAGACTCCTGTTACATTTAATTAGTAATGCAAATTCATATGGTTGATATATATTCATATGCATGGGCCTCAACCACATCTCTAAAAGCCGCAACCCATGAGAATGACTTCTTGGGCTTCTTTGAGCCCAACTTAAAAGTTCAAACAGGACCAGCACCCAACTTATTTTTATAGGATGTACCCATACCCACGCCTAGCCCTAGTCGTACCCCACGTTTTCTCAACTTATTATTGTCCCAACACAAGCCTAATCCAAATGCACCCAATTTCATTTTGTAGGTTGGACTTGAGAGTTGGATTGATTGAGCTTCACATCAGTCTTGGGCCTTAGGTCCAACTCTTAGGCTTGGGCTTCGGTTGCATTTAAATCTGACCTAGGCAGCCCGACTTCCATTTGAATTTTGGATTAATAAAAATTAATTTTAAATAATAATATTTTATAATTTGTCAATGAAACCTATAAGTTTTTAAATTAATAAAAATTAGCTTTGAAGTTAAATATATTTTCATTAAATTTTATTAATTTGTACTCATGGTATTTGTAAATGGATTTTGATTTTATTATTTTTATTAGTAATTTTATTTTAACCCGTTATTATTAGATATTTTTTTTTAATTTTTAAATGGAATATAAGTTAATAAAAATTAATTTTAAAATGAAGCATTTCTTGTTAATTGTAGTTATTAAAACTTAACCTCAAAGCTGTAGTATGCTAAGCCTTTTCCTTGATGTTCTCTCTACCATGTCTGTTGAACACGAGTCATTATTAGACCGTCCGACCATCAAGATTATGAACTCTTTTAATGTTTTAGGCACACTTCTATATTGTAGTAGCCCCTGTTTGATATCACTTCTTTTAAATACTTAAAATAAGTGGTGGGGCCATACAATAAGTGATAAATTATTCACATTTGACAAAAAAAAAAATGAATGAATAAGTGCTTATTTTCAAAATAAGTACTTAAAAAAACAACCCTAAGGCAGCTTATTTTAAGCGCTTATTCCATTTTATGGGACAAAATTGTCCCCATCATTTTTTTTTTTCAAGGTTCCATTGAACACCCCCAATTCAGAGAAGATGATAGATTTGAGTTCGAACAAGAGCCAGCGACAACGACCAGTGACTCCAAGCTGAGAAATCGTTCCAGATATGTGAATCTTCACTCTTTTCTCCATTTTTGCACCATTTTGGGAAACTCTCCATGGTGTTTCCATCTCACCATTGCGTTTTGCACCATACTCCATAGATCTGCGATTGGGAAGTAGAAAAACCACGCCTTGTTGGCGGCACTCTCTGATTTTGGTGAATTCTTAACCCATTTTTTATGTTCTCTAGCTATTTACAAATGTATGATCATTTTTTGTGATGTTTACCTTTTTCATTGTGAATAAAAATGCTAATACCTGAATTTTCCATATGGAAAATGTGGTTAACATGTCAATATTTGCTCATCACAATTCCTTTTGTGATTAATTAGAAGAAAAACATTATTTATTGTTATTGAACTATTAATTCAAATTTATTTTGGTGCTTGAAATGTTTTTTTTTATTTGATATTATTTCTTCTTCAAAAAGCGGTAGTTGGTTTTTTTTTTTTTTTTCTTTATGATTGAAATGATAATCCAAATTTGTAATGAATGCTTTGGTTTTCTTTTATTGTGATATTAGTATCTTTTATAATTGTTATTTGATTATTATATCTGAATTATTAGTATAATTGTTGTTATTGTTGTTGTTAATAGTAACATGATATCTGATTTTTTATTATTATTATTATTATTACAAATAATTATTTTTGTTTATTTATTTTATTCTTAAATAAATTAATTTGTTTAATAGTGCTACGTGTGACATATAGGCCCATGTGTGTTGCAAGGGTTAAAATCATCATTTCCATCAAAATATGTCAATATAATATTGAAAAATATCATATATGTGTATATTTGTTAAGTTAGTAAGCGGCTCTCCAGACATTGGAACCCAAATAATTACTTAAAAATAAGTGTAGGTGGTTTGGAAAATGACCTCCCAAATATTAATAAGTACTTCAAAACTTATTTCTCAAACTATTTATTCACCAAAAATAGCTGTAATAGCCAAGGCCCATATATTCAACAACAAGCCCAATTAGAGACTTTTTTTTAAGGCTAGAAATGAATTAAGGTTTACATCAAGCACCCATTTATTGATCAACAGTAACAGCGCCTCAACCTCTTATCGGGTTCTATCACCCAATTAGGAACGCCAAGTTGCATATGATCAATGTGGTACCATTTGCCTCCAAAAAACCACTACCAACTCAAGATCTTTCTCCATTTGTAACCAAGAATTAGCATGGTCTTCGTTATTTTCAAAAATGTCAACCAAGAATTTTGTTGACATAGATCTCATATTCACGATTAGGTCAAGCCAAAGCCAACATTGATCCTGCATCCGCTCCAAGGTGCACAAGATCAAATCAATAAAAACCCAACGGAAATCGGGTAGAATACTACCCAAATTGCTCTCCTTTGCCCAAATATTACAAAACGGACCGGAATCAGAGGTGACTAAGTATGGATTATCTCTGTTCATTACCCATAAAAGTTAGGTGCTGGATTCTGACGATCAATCTAACAACAGTAAGGTTGCTGGAATCTAGCAATGTCATCAGAAAACTAAGAAGAAGAAGAAGAAGTTAAATTAAAATCCATTTAGAAAGGCAATCTAAAAGGCTACTCTAGAACAATAGAAATAGAAACAAAATTAAATGAATCAACAAAATAAAACTCTATTACAAAGAAACCAAAATAGCTACACGTTGAACTCAGAGCAAATAGATAATGAATATTGAATAGAAGTTAGAGGGCAAAAGAGAGGCCGAAAATATAACCTTCATCCCTCTGTTGCTCAACTTTTTTTCAAAGGGATGACTAGAAAAACAACCATATTGCAATCAAAGGTCATACACGTCGTTGCATGGATTCAAGAAAACTTCTCTACTGCAAGGGTTTTCATAGATGCACAAGTACTAGCAAAAGCAATTGAAATGAGGTTTAAAGGAATAAGAAGAAAAAAGGATGAAAAGAAAATTAAAAAGCTCACCTATCAATTGCCTTGCATAGATCAATACTATACTGAATTAGTTTAGAGCTACGAACTGGTGGTTGTGAATTGTAGCAATGGAGAGGTAGCCCAGTTATTTGGTTTCTTACATAGTTGGAGGATGTACACTATAGAAATAGAAAATAGGGAAGTAAACTAAGGGGTCTTCCACAACAAAGTTGGTTTTGTTTTTGAAAACAAAAACAACCATCAATGTGAAAGTTGATTTTGTCTTTAAAAACAAAAACAACCATGTAGTGGAACACTCTCTAAATTTTTAAGGGAGAATGACTGTTCTCAACCCATCCCAGAATTCTTAGCCCCACCGTACAGGTGGGATGAATCTCGACTGTGGATCGATGTAGGGGGGCTACTAGTAGACTATGGGGGGCTGTAATTTCAGATTTCTATGGTGGAGTGCAGTGTACTTCACCGAATTTTCAAAAACAACCACCACATTAGCAAAATTATATTGTTTTTGCGGATGTGAAAAAAAAAAACAACCATGTGGCAGAACACTCCTTAAATCAATCTATATAAGGCTGCGTTTGGAATCAATGTAATGACATTTTACACTGAACCGTAAAAGTGACCATTGCTTTTTGAAAAACGTGATGGGTGAAGAGTGTAAAGTTTTACATCGATAACATTGATGTAGTATTTACATTGATAATCGATGTAAAACTTTACGTTTGATAGGTTTTATCGATCTAAAACTCCACTCCATTAAAAAATACGCAAAACTGAATTAGAGTGGAGTTTTGTGTCGACCATGATTACACTCTCATTCCAAACACAGACAAAATCGAACTGGTGTAAATTTTTACACCGATTCCAAATGCAGCCTAAAGGAAATATAGTGAAGATAAAGTTATGATAGGTGATTAAAGAGAAAAGACCGTGGTAAGGTTTCCTGTTGATTGTAAGATGCCAACTGGCTGGTTGGTAAGGTTTCGTACTGGTTGTAGCTAAGACTTGGGACTAAGTCCCACCTGCACTTGGGTTGGGGGGTTATGGGTTTAACCTTTTTTTCGTATTAATCAATATATGTAGGACCGTTACTTTTTAAGTTCAGTACAACCTCAACTAATCATATAATTCTTTTCTTACAAAGACGATCATAACAGGATTCAAAACTGCACCATTGCTGGAACAGTTCATTTAGTGTACCAACTGAGTAGCTCAATTGGTAAAGAACACTTGATTGGAGAAGGATTGGCTATATACCAAATAGCTTCCATGTTGTCCTAATAATATCAAATTCCATTATTATCCATGTAATGCAGGTGCTCACACCCATAGATGTGCGAGTAGGGTTACAACCTGGTTTGGGCCAACATGAACCGAACCCAACCCAACCTAAAATTAAACTGGGGCTGGTTCATGAAAATATGAACCCCATATAAATTTGGGTTGGGTTAGGGTTGATGTCTTAGGCAATACAACCTAACCCAACCAAAGATGATGATATTTGTAATTATATATTATGGTGCATGTATTGATCTATGATGAGAGTAGGAGACGAGAGTTAATGATGAAGGGCTTTTTTGTAAAAAAAACGTTCAAATAATGATCTCTGCACATCAATTTTATATGTAGTATATAGAGATGGAAATTTCACTCGTCTTCATGAGCCCCACCCTGAGCGAGGTGGGTTTTTTGATCACTGATTGAGGTTTGGGGAAAACCCAAAACTCTGGAGTTGGGGACAGTATTTGTCTATCCTGCCCCGATTATATTATAAAACATAATATATATAATTATTAATATATTATATTATATATTATTAAGCTATATTATATTACATAATATAAAATAGTTTTAAGTATGTTTCAAAAAATAAAAAATAATAATAATAAGTATATAAGTAAGAATGACCGGGTAGGGTGGGGCAAAGTCGGGGATCC